AAAAAACACGGTCACGATATATAGCCGCTCCAGGTATCCTAGATCCCTTCATACTTTCCCATCATCCCCCCATCCCATGAGATGTTTCCCCTCAGCTGAATCTCCACTGACTCTTCCTCCTGTTGCTGTTAACTGATATCCACACTGAATTGTACTTCATTTTACTCCGCTGTTATTTCCTAGATGGGGTCAACAAAGTAATTCGACTTGGGTAACAGAGTAAAATTACGATTCCATGAATTTTACACCCTTCACTAATGATCAATAAAGAAGCAAATATAAAAACAACAACTGACCAAGTTCGCGAGCATATCACACGAAGAACTTTTGTTATTTGCTACACCTAATGGACAACATCTCTTCGCTTCTCAACACTGAGTGCCTTCTAAAATCTTCTTTGCAAAAATATTCCTATTTTATCTGACTTCACTTATTCGACTGTCAGTGCTTTGTATTAGCAAGATTAAGAAGATAGGAGATGTGCAGCCTATGAATTTAAAAAGATTTATTATTCAAGTTATTATTATTATTATTTATTCTTTTACTGCTATAATTGTGAGGAATGGAGGTGGTATAGTGGCAAGTGGCGCACTTCATATACACTTCATATACATGGACACGGATTCCAATTCCGGATTGATATCCGCCTAGGCCAACGAAGCCTTCAATCCTTCCGGGGTCGGTTAATTTGTGTTATCCTCGCCTGGGAGGATAAAAGCACTGACTTTCTCATCGGCTGGCCACCGCAGTTCATTGTGGTGGCCACCCACGCATTTAATACGCCACTACGATTCTGAAGAGAGGTGAATGCGGGGCGCATCCTTCAGACGAGACTGACTAACGCCAAAAAATGAAAAAAGACTTATTATTGCTATAGTTGTGTGGTAGAGTTTATTTTTAGACTCGAAATCATACACCATGCTTACTTCCAGACGTCACCCAAGTTCGTCTGAAAGCTGCAAAACAGTTCTAAAAATAACTTTTCTGCTCCGACGAGATGACACTCTGCCACATAGGTTGTGCCGACTCAAGCCCTTGATAATCTCCTAGCGAAAGTTCAAAATAGTGGTGCCGTGATCCCTAAGCCCATAAAAAGGCGAAAATGAAGGAAACTATCAGCTTCTATCAAATCCTCGTGGCAGGAGCAGGTTTACTAGGTGACTGCATGATCGAGAAGAGAAATCAGTTAGTAAAATGGAAACATGTTCATTAGATATGAATTCTTCCCTCAATGAAGCATATCAAAGGAAATCTTCTGCCAATACGGCTCAACTTTTGTCTATGTAAAACAATAGTGTAGCAGTCTAAGTCCAAGAACTCAACAACTTCTGTTCGGGGAGACTCTTGCCTTTTGAGAGAGACTTTTCATTTTTTTTTGAAGCTCTGACATAGCTCGAAATCCCTTCCTCTTCAACATAATATTCGAGCCTTTTGCCTCATTTGACTTGTCCAGGATAGGAACCAGCAATGGAATCACCACCATTTCATTCATCTTCTCACTAGCGCTAGCTAGATATCTATGAGATGTTGTAACGGAAGATTAGAAATAAGTGGTTATAAATGTTCCAAAAAGATCACGTTCACTTAAAAGAAAGCAAATTTGGTTTCCAAAAATGATGTTCAGTACCGTTCGTTCGATGTCGTTGAAGAAGTAAACATAGAGAGTGATACTAACTAGAATCTTGATATTTCTAAGCCCTACTAACTTAATAGGTGCTTCTTTCCAGCCCCTCCTCGCTAAAAGCCGCTTCAATCATTCTCAAAAGCTCTTCCACGATCCCTTCTACCTTGTTGAGCTCCGTGAAAAAGGTTCGACCGGTGCTATTCCAACATGGGGAAAGGGGATTCCGAAAATCATGATATCGCAGGGCTCAATAAAGTAAATATGGGTAAAAATTTATTCCGCTTTATTAGAATAATAATATTACTGTCACTAGCTGTTACATGTTGAGCTTTGATGAGCTCCTGTGGAATTCGGGTAGATTCCCGTGTTTGCTTCTTTCACTTGCTGTGTTTTCCCTTCGACCTGGTGATCAAATCTCTGCTTCAGCACAGCGGCGGCGGCGGCGTCATTCGTGCCACCGCTGGTTGGTCGTGAAGATAAAAGTTTCGAAGTGATAAAAAGACAAACATCAACAGCCGCCATCAAAGTCGTCGCCGCAAAAACAGATAAGAAACAGGGGGACAGAGGGCCGATTCGTGAGCTTCTACCTGGTTGCTTACCCACTGCTCGTTTTTTTCGTCTGCAAATATTGAAACTACCTACCGAGTACTAATTAGTCTTCTCTTCCCAACGTTTCTCCTCAAACGTGAAAGCATCACGCTGAAAAGTCTTTTAATTTTTTCTATTCTTATCTCTTCCTTCTATCTTTTTGCCAGTTATCCACTATGCGTTTACCGAATCCCGGATCGATACTCACCCAGGCCAACCTCATCCCACCTTGGTCGTTCGCTAGTAGCAGACTCGTGTGGGAAGATAAAGTAGCTGTCTTGTACGTCTGCTGATCACCTCTAGTCACTGTATAGACCACGTGCGCATTCGTATTGCCTCCACGATTCAGAATGGAAGTCGAATGCGCGGCGCATACCAGAAAAGGTATTGTTGTAACGCGAGGAAGTTATTCCTTCATTCTTTCTGGGCTATTAGACCAACTGTAGCCTTTTCAATACCCTCTTTAGATCTCTGTAAAGGAAAAATTCTTGAGCAGTAGTTTTTACTAAGAAGTAAACAACATTCATCAGAAACGTTGTTTATCAAGGTATGGTTCCGTTGATTGATATTGTTTTCTGAAACAATTAAGCTAGCATGTTCTCTGTTTTGAACAAAGGCACACAAGAAATAAAGGGGAAAAGATGTTTGGCAGCTTAGAATGACCCCAGCAGCTGTGTGTTCTCCCTTCTTTTCGATAATAACAGCTCATAATTCCAGCAGCAGAATCAGGTGGTGAGTGCTACATGAAGCGATCTGTAATGGTGCAATCACTTTCTCTGAACAGCCCCACTTTTTCTCATTACAATTACAATAGCAATTCTTTGAATTTCGTAACTACGTGTAGCTTTCTTATAGCCATCTACTGGTTCCTGGCCACATTCACTTTCATAAATTTTCACCCAAGAAAGTCCCCTATCAAACGAAATTACATCTAATCGCCTGTAGTAAAATGGATATAATTCTTAGAAGTAAAAAAAGGAACCAGGTGCCAATCACCGTCTTCTCATTCTTGTTGTTGTTGGCTAACTGGTAACCAGCTCCCGCTTATTTACTTTTGCACCGAGACATTTGAGCCATGGTAAACCATCCAGCCATGTAGAGCCGTTATTGCGTAGAAAACCGGGAATTTATGAAGAGAACCTAGCCAGTTTCTCGGCCCCGGTGGTCCTGTCTGTCTAGCACTGAGTCAATCGAAGCATCTTACACACTCTCTGATTTTCGAAATCTCTCTGAAACGATCCTTTCAGTGAATCTCTATGGTATCTTTTAGTAGAATGAACTTCCATGACTAATGTTAAATACTCCTATTAAAAACTAGCTCTGTTTCGTGGAAATAATTCGACTATTTCGTCTGATTCTAGTGGTAACTTTGGGAAGCGAGTAAGAGTCACTCTCAGAGTAAGAGCCGGGAAAGTAATGTACTCTTGGAAACCCACTAATCAAGGTTTGTACAATCTGGGTACGTTAGTTGTGAGTGGGACTAGTAGTTCTCAAGGACCGCGGGTGGAAAGATCAACTGTCGTGAAGGCTCATCAATTTTCAAAGCCAGTGAGAAGTTGAAGCCGATCTGGGATCAGCCTTGTTCATATCCCATCACTTTTTCGATGATAGCCCTTCTCCCTAGGATGACGCCATGCCTACCCAGATGGCTGTGGGAACTGCGCTACCTAGCTCAAAGGACTTTTGTTGTCAATCATTTGGTCGTACGCTAGTTGTCTTCTCGGTAAGAAAACCGATATGATAACTTCCAAGTTGACTACTGTCTCTTGGTAGTTTTAAATCTGCTCAGACCAACAATTAGGGTACATATGCGATCCTCGGTAAATATCCCTAATCCAACAGACCCCTAACAGAGTATTCTTTGAAGATAAGATCGTTCCCACAGCAGCTCCAGTTTGCCTTGTCTTACAACATCTGAACCTGAACATACCCATAAGAATTCCCTTTAGAGCCATGAATCGGTGGGTAAACGCTCGTCTGACTAGTTATATAGCTTGAAGCTTAGTGGAGTGGAAGCTTGATAGCCTTAACAGAAACGAGCCAGATATGTCGGGCAAGTGCAAAGAAGTTTTTCGAGCCACAATGCCACTACCTCCTTCACCTTTCGTCTTCCGACAACTGAAATTTCTATTCTCGTCCAATTTTACCTTCACTTCGGTATTTTTAATGAGGGACCGTATACCAGAAGTCTGTAATGATCTCTCACCATCTACTGGTTCCCTTATACAGGGCTCTTGGGAGACGAACAATTAGCCGGTCAGAGTTAGCGAACTCCCCGTGCTCCAGCTTTTTCACTGGCTCACTTCATCTATTTCTATTTGCTGTCAGTTAATGTGTGGTCCATGGTATCATCACCCACAACTGATGGATGACAAACTGAAGAATCCTTCGGAGTGTAAACTGAATGAATTGCTTTGATATAAGGAAAAACCAATCGGAAACTACTGAATGGGAGTAATTGGACTTATAGAAGACAGAAAATGACCTCCACTGACATGGGCTATTAAGTGGTATTGGAAAGGTCTTGCTAATCGTTGTCATACCCCTAGTCAATCTGTACTTCCACAGAAGAGGTCGACCTTGGCCCGTACAACTGTCCGGCAGCAAAGCTTCTCGTGTTCATCTCCCATGTGGCCAAGGATCAAATGAACTTTAGCGGCGAACAAAATTCAAAAAGCATTTTTATATCGCCGGAACAAAATGTCCACTAATACTGTCCCGGGCCCTCCCACTTGGGGTCCCAGTATCCAAGTAATGATTACAAGTTTTTTTTTGTTCGATTGCAAAAATGCCAACTGTACAGCCCGTAACATCTGGTCGACTGAGTGATAATTTTCTGAAGGACCACACGGAGATAAGAGAGAAGACTTTCGGAACACGCGACCATCATTTTGTTCGCATAATTTCACGCCCAATCTATTCATAGCCATCATTTTTTGATTTTTTTCCTCCCAGTAGTCGTCTACTTGAACAGATTGTTCAGAGAGCAATTGTCAAGTGCTTAAGAGGATTTCTTCAAGCATGACATCGAAGACATTTGTCCTCTCACTCTACAGCTTACTTCTTCATTTTGCAGGTTTGCATTGACCGAGCGCATCCATCGTCGTCAGCGATGCGCTCAGTTTTCAGCACCTTCCTTGTGATTGTCTTGCTCGGTTGCATCGTCGAGTCTAAGGTAAGAGAATTCTGGCATTCATCGATTTACTTTTATCGTTACTTGTTTAATTAGTACCCCTGGCCAGACTACTGTAACTACTTCAAAATTCCCTCAAACAGTTTCTGTAAAAGTGCACTTGCAAGAGCATTTAATAAACAAATAAATAAATATATAAACACTGTGGGCAACTGCTTTGTTCAAGCGACAATTTTTGTAGCTTTAGCCAAGAATTCGATTGAACTTACCAGCTTTCTATAGGGGACCAGCCGCCAGATCATTTTTCTTCAACTTGCAAAATTTCTTTCCTATGGCGGCTTGTCTAGTCTACTCTGCTAATCCCTCAGCGTGATACACAAAGCGCAAAAGACGTCGGTTTCTTATCGAATGGGATTAGTTCTTTGTTCATTATAGTTCCGGGAAGCCGTTCATCATGTTCACATTACTTTTGAGTGAACGCATCCGTTTTGGGTAGTGATAGAACCGTTACTACCGTTGAAGACCTAACCTTGAATAGTAACCGTTGTACTAGACGATTCTCTACCAGTAGGGGTTTGTAGCGACCTCAAGAATGAATATGTTCTCCATGAGATCACTTATAGAGAGGCGAATTCATCGAGATTCCAGAAACTTTTAATTTTTAACTCCAGGAAGGAATATTTTTATTTATATCACTTATATCTATAAGGATGTGAGGGTTTCAGATATATCGTTGTAAACGATCGTCACGACGATGTGGACGTAATGAGGCACCTACTACTGCCCCAGAATCTCAGTAAGTACCTATTTTATAAGTTGTTTCATGAATTCTTTAAAACGCTGGACAAGTTTTTGCGTCATAAGTAACTCGTATTTCATCGAGGAAATGAATAGTGCAACCAGAAAGCCAAACTTTATCGTTGCCCCAGGGTGGGTTACGGATGTCGTGGCCTTCTGAACCATCTACGTTCCCTAATCCGCTTTGGAACTCAGGGCCGAGGGTGGATCGAATGATTCGGGTGGGCACACACAAGTCGCAGGTCCCATACAAGTGAATAAAGTTGAATAATCTGACGGCATCAATTGTTTTTCCGAGTGATACGAACGATATAGTCTGTTGAACTGTATAGTAATGCACATTGTAGCGTGAAAATGGAATCATCGGGGTAGTTCCGTAGAAGTGGATTTGTAGACTACTTAGACCTTGTAACGGCATTCTACTGAACTTTCGATCATCTTGAAGATAATGAGTATTTTTTGATGGTTCGAAGAAGTGCGAAACCTTATATATGCCATTTCACTTTACTGCTTCCTTATTGATGAATTGAAAGTTTTTAGGGAACGCCCACGAGTGATCTGGTCCTCTGATGGTAAAATCGGCAACAGGTATTTCGAATCTGATGGAAGATACTTCGTAGAAATACAGGTAAAGTTTCTCAGCTATTGCTCTGAAATTAAGACCACGACGAGGTTGCCAACTTCACCCGTTGACTATTCAACCGGGCAGGTATCTGTCCCTGGTAAGAAGCGCTGCCTCGCCTTGAAATGATCAGGAGGATCGATTTTATCGAATCCAACAAAACAGATTTTTGTTATTCTGTTGGTTAGGACATATCAAGTGCAGTAGTGTCCTGACGAATGATGAAATCGGTCAATAGACCTGAAATTGCCCAAATATGCTCAACTTGTAGACTAGCATGTAGGGGAGGGCACACAATTGACTCTTATCCAGGCCAGCCCTCGTTTGGGGTAACTATTCTTAACCCATGTTTCAATCCTTCAAAATCGAATTTCACCCAAACCGGTGACCCCTGTCTTTTATGATTTTGGTTTGTAACTTCCTCTGGGACGTTGGTAAGCTCCCAAGAGCTGTTCGGACAGACCAATGTTACCGTATTACTCATAGATAAAAAAGCTGCTCGAATTTCTTCACATATGTGTGGAATGCGGAGCACGAACCATGACTGGTTGAAGTTCACGGATGTTGCCGAATAGGCTGAGACATCAATAATCGGACCCGTGGTGGGCACGTCGTCTGTCGGTGATAAGGTCGAAACGGACACGTACCGAATCTAGCTCAGTTGAAAGCCATGCAACTGCCTTTACATTTTTTCAGCTAAATCCTATTCGTTATGCAGGAAAATGTACCCCATCTTAGGGTTGTTTTCGAACCTTTAATAGTTGAAAACGAGTGGCGGTATGAAATGGCTTGTCGTATTGCTAAGCTTCTGCCCCCATAGAAGAACTCGTAGACCTCCTCCATCCTGAAAGCGTCCCAAGCTTCAAACAAAGCACGCTCGCTACAAAGTTCGTCATTAACCAGTGAGCACTTTGATCAGTGAAAGCGATAACGTCTTCCATAGAAATCCTACCGGTTTCCCGGAAACTACTGGGACTGCATTGACGGTGGGGTAGGAGTCACCGCATTACTGAGAAAGATTACAAAGATGATCCGGGGATCGAATCCTGGCTCGAACTCACCAAGGCCAGCCAAGTCTTCCGAGGATCCAAACAGCGCCGCGATATATCAGCCTCCTGCATCAGATAGAGCTTCTCTCCGTCGATTTAAATGTGTTCATTTCAGGAATTGGTGCCGATTCCTGGTGGTAAATATCAGATCGTCAAGAAAGTGGTCGAGACTGGACAGCCACCTAATGTTCCACCCGATCAAAGAGAGTCACCTGCCGGAACACATCCTGACCAAAGTGGACAGCCTGGCTCCTATCATCCTGTCTTGGGCGACCGTCCCGATTCTTCAGCTCCTACCCATTCACATTCTCCTGACCAGGGTCCACCTTCTTATCCATCTCGTGACCAGGGTCCACCTTCTTATCCACACTACGGAGGAGGTCAGCCACACCATCCTCAACACTATGGCAGAGGAGATAGTGAGGTTAGATGATGGTTTTGGAAACTCAGAAGTTTTATAAAAGAGATTGCTCATGACATATTCCAGTCAGGACCTACTCAATTTTTAATTGTTCAGTAAGCTATCTATTTAGACTATGCCGCCAGTTCAATACGACGAAACGTGGTACGAGCCACCAGGCCAGACGTCCTACCCGAGACTGGTGATTCCTTAGTTCCTAGCCGATTTGTAGAGCTAATTTTAGAATTGCTTCAGTTTTCCAAGAGTTCCCATTTATGTAAACACTTCGTGACCTCGCTCTTTTCAGCTGTTTTCACCCCATCATGGCTGGCGAGAGATGAACGAGGACGAAGTACGAAGAGTCAGGCGGATTCAGCCGCTCGCAGATTATGATCCACTGCTGTCAAGCCCTGTCGATAGACTGCCCGATCAAGAAGGTAGAGGTCAGCCCAGCGGCACTGGTGAACGTCGACCCTATCCTCACGAGATGCATCGAATTCATGACCAACACCCTAGTCCGCAGCAAGGATATCCATCTACGGGCTCGCATGGGCATTATCCCGATCGCGCACAATATGCGGGCAGACATCCTGGCTCAACTCCCGAGTCATCCGAAGAAGAAGTCAACCCAACCGTAGAGCGCAGAACAGACAATCACGGACGAACATGGATCCTGCGAGAAGGACGATGGCATCCTCTTGATGGCAGTGAAAATATGGATCACCAACATGAAGCTCCCCCCGCAGCAGAACATGAGCATCGCAGACATGAACAGCATGAGGCTCCCCCGGGAGCAGAATATGAGCATCGCAGAGGTGGCCAGCATGAGGCTCCCCCAGCACCAGAACCTGAGCATCGCAGAGGTGAATGGGTGTTCCGAAATGGAATGTGGCATCGTGACCCGCAGCAGCAGGATCGAAATCTAGGCAGTGAAATTGATATTCCATTGAATCGGAATGAACCGGAAAGATCCAGAGATGGCTGGGTGATGCGTGATGGATCCTGGCACTACGAACCAACTCAGCCAGCCCAGAATGAAGTGCAAGACGCTGGCACTCCAGCTGAAGGAGAAAAAGTTGGAGACGGTTGGGTACTTAGAGACGGAGTGTGGTATTACGAACCTCAGGGCGGAACAACGACTCGTCCACCACCACAGCCTGAAGCCGGTAGAGCCGGTGACGCTTGGGTTCTACGAGATGGAACATGGTATTATGAGCCTCAGAACCATCAGCCATATGCCCGCCTTCCTGGTGCAGCTTATCATGATGGAGTTGGGCAGTGGGAATTCCACGATGGATCATGGCACTTTGTTACTCCCCATCATGGAAGTCATGCTCATGCAGGAGGAGTGGAAGGTCATATGACTCACGTTGATCATGATGATAGGATGGGAAATGTGAGAAGGGTTCACGTCCCGAACCATGACCATGGAGACCATGGCAGTAGACTCGTGGAAAAGGTAGTGAATTTGGCATCAGGTTCGGGAGGTGACGTGAATAAGAGCAATGATACCTCCATTGACTATCGAAACTGGTCCTATTCGTATTATGAGCAAGGCGGTGATGGAGAAGCCGATGCCGAAATGTTCGAATCTGACCCTTCTGAGGGAAGTGGTCAGCAACCATCCAACCGTCTGGAATCTCCCCAATTCATCGAACAAGGAAATATGGCCGCAGTCGTATATCCCGATGAAGGAGCAGCCGAACCAGGCAAATCTTATTCATCCTATTTCATTAGGGACGGAGACGTTGGTGCAATGGTCTACACTGAAGGTGGGGTCGAAGAGAATCAAAAAATAGCCCAAGCCAGTACAGATGAAGGTTTCCCACCGAATGGTCCCAATATACTCTCTGTCGAAGATTTCAAACGTCTACAACCATCATTGTCCTCAATAGTACCTATGCAAGTAGGCGCTGCACATCTTTCCTGTGATGGTGTGGGTCCTTCAGACGAAACAGAAGAATATTGGTTGATTAGGACCACACCATGTGGAGATAGTTCTCCAGAAGGTCGTATTCTGATGCCGAATGGTGACATTTTGAAATTCTACGGTTATCCAAAACTCGTACGTGCATAGAGGCCATCGTCGATCTCATATGGCCTTTTTATCGAACTTCACGGTAGAATTACTTGTATACAGCATTTATATATCTGTGCGTGTGTGTGTTTTGTTAATATTGCTTCAAGTACTGTTAATAGCAATGAATGTATCATAATAGTATCGAGTGTTTCATTTGAACGCTACATTGTAACTGGTTAAGCCAAATAATATGCGATTCTGGACTGAACATGAGTGCATGGCGCATTCCAGAACAGGTTCTTTCCCTCCCGATGACCTTTCAATAATACAATTACCAATCAAAACTTGTATTATCATTATGGAACGAAGTAGTGCAGTGGCAAAAGGCGTACTACCACAGAAGCATGGTCACGAGTCCAATCCCGGATCAATACCCGCCTCATAACTAAGCCTCCCATCCTTCCGGGATCGGCCAAGTGATAGCAGACACGTCTTACCAATTAGAGGATAAAAGCACTGAATTGTACATCGGCTGGCCACCGCAAGTCATTGTATAGGCCTTATACGCATTCAATACGCCAACACGATTCTGAGTAGAAGGCGAGTGCAGGGCGCATCCCAGAAAGAGTTGATTAGCATCAAAGACTTACCCTTTTCTATGTCCTATCATTAACTATACGATAACTTTAATGAATCTCACAATGTTCACCTTCTTTGTGGAGATAGCGATGAGTTTAGGGTCTACAACAGCCTTTACAAACGAAACTGTTGAAAAACTTTCCCTTCGAGGGAAGCGTTCGAGAAAAAT